TCAAAAATATGAGCAGTCACTTAACAGAAAAGGAAGTGCAAATGGCAATACACAAGTGAGAAAATTTATATAACTTTATTAGATATCAGGAAAGTGCCAATTAAAACAAAAAGAGAAATACTTTTGCCTCTGACAGCCAAAGATTCAAAATATTGATGCTGTACAGTGTTATGAAGGATCGAGAAATAAACATGCTTAGATATTGGTGGTGAGAGTACAAGTTGCTGCAGACCCTTGGGAGGGTAATTTAACTACACCCTCGGTGGTGGTGATCATGTACCTCCTTGAAGTTGGTCATGGTCTTCATATACCTCTGTGACAGCCATGGCGGTTGTATTCCCACAACTCAGCGGCAGTAGTGGAGGTATTGGCTTGGCTGTGACAGTAGTGGTGGTGGTAATTAAATAACTTGGAGAAGCCAAAACCGGTTTGGCTCAATGGATAGAGCGTCGGCCTGCTGACTGAAAGGTCCCGGGTTCGATTCCGGTCAGGGGCATGTACCTGGGTTGCGGGCACATCCCCAATAAGAGATGTGCAGGAGGCGGCTGATCGATGTTTCTCTCTCATTGATGTTTCTAACTCTCTATCTCTCTCCTTCCTCTCTGTAAAAAATCAATAAAATATATTTAAAAAAAAATAAAATAAATAACTCGGAGAAGTGAGTCTACACAGAGCTCTGCTACATTAGTCATGGGATTCAGCCAGCGTTGTGTTGGTGGTGGTGGAGGTGGTCACATATCACAAAATTCTCTCATGTTGTCTGTGGTGGGACTCACAATCATCTGTGACTGGTATGGTCATAACCAGATAACTCCCCAAAGTCGGCCATGCTAGTCAAATAATTCTGCAAATTTGGTGGTGATGGCATTCACATGACTGCAATGATTGAGGTGGTTAGGTTCATCCAACTCTGAAGGGTTGGGATGGCATTTGTTGTTCTGTGAAGTGGGTGCAGGTGGCCTTCACGTCACTGCGGTGATGGCCTTCACGTCACTGCGGTGATGGCCTTCACGTCACTGCGGTGATGGTCTTCACGTCACTGCAGTGGTGTGGTGGTGATGGTCTTCACATAATGAGATAGGGTGGTGGTGATGGTATTGAAACAGTGCTATGATATTGGTTGTGGTATTTGCATAACCACGCGGTGTTGGTTGTAGTAGTTATATAACTCAGTGGTCATTCTGGTGAGAGTGTTTTTATAACCAGGTCTTTGGCTATCTATCCACTTATAGCTAGTGACGTAGCTATGACACAACTATACTTCTTTGGTCATTAATTCACTCTGTAATATTGCTGGTGGTGGTATTCACATAACTCTGAGTGTTGTGACAGTGTTGGATGTGGCAATCTCATAACTGCAAAGTGGTCATGGTGTCTCATAGCCCTGTCACATAGGTAGTGTAAGCATATAAGCATACAAATAATCTGCAGCTGAGGTACTGCATTCACTTACCTTCATGACATTGTTTTTGGTGTTATTCCCATGATTCTGTGAGGCTGGCCATGACTTTCACATACCACCATGATGGTGGTAGAGTTGGTATTCAAATAACTGTGTGATGGATGTTGTGTATTCACATGACATTGTAATATTGGAGGTTGTGTTCACAGATGCGATGAAATTTATCATGGTATTCCTATAACCCTGAGACATTAGTTTGTCATGGTGCTGGCATAATTGTATAACATTGGTGGTGCTATTCACATATCTTTTGACAGTGGTGATGGTCAACTCAGATAATGCTGTGGCTTGGTCATGGTACCAGCAGTCTTCAGACAAGTTCGGTTCCAGACCACCACAATCAAGCAAATACTGCAGTAAAGTGACTCACATGAATCTTTTGGTTTCCCAGTGTATATAAAAATTATGTTTACTCTATACTGTAGTCTATTAAGTGTGCAATAGCATTATGTCTAAAAGAACAAGGTATATACCTTAACCAAAAAAAACTTTATTGCTAAAAATGCTAGCCATCATCCATGCCTTTAGCGAATCTTTTTTTTTTTTTTAAATATATTTTATTGATTTTTTACAGAGAGGAAGGGAGAGAGATAGAGAGTCAGAAACATCGATGAGAGAGAGACATCGATCAGCCGCCTCCTGCACATCCCCCACTGGGGGTGTGCCCACAACCCAGGTACATGCCCTTGACCGGAATCGAACCTGTGACCTTTCAGTCCGCAGGCCGACGCTCTATCCACTGAGCCAAACCGGTTTCGGCACCTTTAGCGAATCTTAATCTTTTTGCTGGTGGAGGGTCTTGACTCAGTGTTGATGAAAACACAATTAAAACATAGCACAATAAAATGAGGTATGCTTGCATTTACACAGTTCTATAATGGTGGTGGCATTGGTGTTAACATGTCACTGCAAGGTGGTGGTATTCACCGAAATCTGTAACTTTGGTCAGGATAGTCACATAAGTCTGGCTTGTTAGGGTTATGGTATTCACAAAACTCTGCAATGGAGGTGGAAGCATTTGCATGACTATGATGGCAACCATAGTGCTAACATATCTTTGTGACATTGGTGGTGGTATTCTCCTAGACCTGCCAGGACAGTGGTGGTATTCAACTAGCTCCACTCGGCTGTTGTGCTGGTTCTTCACATAGTTGATGGTGTTGGGTATACTAATCCTGTAACTCTGCAGTTTGTCACGATCTTCACATAACTCAGCGATGGTGGTAGCGGTATTCATATAACTCAGCAGTACTGGTGTGGTCTCCACACAGCTGTGCAAGGGTGAGCGTGGTGTTCACAACTATGAGGTTATTGGTTTTGGTCTCATAACTCTGTAATGTTTTTGGTGGTATTCATATGCCTCTTCAATATGCACTGATCATACTCTCATACATGTGATATGGTATAGGTGGTGTATTCAAATGACGCTGAGATGGTGGGTGTGGTGGCACTCACATAATTCTATGATGGTCGTGGTACTTATAGTTACATGATTCTGCAGTGGTGGTGTTGGGACACATAAAACAAGGCAATGCTATTCGTGTTATTCATGTGACTGTTATGATCATCGTGGTTTTCCCAGAACTCTGTGATGTTGGTAGATTTGATGTTACATAGCTCTGCAATTTTGGTCATGGTAGTCACAAAACTATGAAGCTATAGGTGGCATTCAGATAATTTTGTGACAAAAATGGTGGTATTAATATAACCCTGTGGTGTTGGTGACCATGGTACTCAAGTATCACTGTTGCTAGTAGTAATTGCATAACTGTGACATTGTTCACGGCATTCGCATTACTCTGTGGTGGTGGTATTCAATAATTCTGCAACCTGGGTCATAGTTTTCAATAGCTCTGTGATGGTGGTTGCAGTATTCTGATAATCTGAAGTGGTTGTTGTCACATTCAAACACTTGTGATGGTGGTCATGGAGCATTCCCCTGGGTTTGCAGCTGTGGGTGTAAAATTTGCATAACTCTCCAAGGTGACGATGATAGTATTCACATATTGTTGAGAGGCGGTTTTGTAGCTATGACACAACTATGCTCCTCTGGTCACTAATTGCCTCACTTTGTAATATTGCTGGTGGTGGTATTCACATAACTCTGGGTGTTGTGACAGTGTTGGGTATGGCAATCTCATAATTGCAAAGTGGGTCATGGCCTTCATATATCTTAGTGATAGTGGTATCCACATAACTGTAACAGCACCTGTGGCATTCACATAACCTACACGATTGCTCATAGTTTTCATATGGCTTGTGATAGCATCACGCTACTTATATAACTCTGCCATGTTGTTCATGGTAGTCATGTAATTCTGCATGTGGAAGTGGTATTTACATGTCTGTGACTTTGGTGGTAGTGGTAATCATAGCCCTGTGACAATGGTCCTGGTGTTCAGGAGTCTGTGATGTTGGTCACTGTTGGCGGTCATCTAATTCAGTTATCTCTGCGACATTGGCCATGGTATCCTCATCCTGTGATGGTGGTTATGGTATGTGAATAACTCTGTGATGTGATGGTGGAAGTTTCACCTGCCTATGCAATGGTTGGAGTAAAAACCACATTTTATGGGCAGAGAGACTTAGGTTTAGAGAATTTTTGCTTAAAGTTACATAATAAGATATTATGGACCCAAGCTCAAATTCAGGTTTTCTGAATGGTTCAAATGCAGCTTTTTCTGTATTCTACCATGAATTCTCTTCCTGCTGAGTCTAAATTTAAAAGCATTGATATAAAACATCTGTATCTTCAAACTCTCCATGGACTTTGGAAGCTAAATATTATATCTCTACCATTCTAGTTGTTTATCTTTAGCCTTAGTTGTGTCCATATATTCATACACACACGCACGTGCTCACACACACCCTCACCCCCCCACACACACATTTTCATGTGTGAAACATAAAAAAATTAACTAGAAATGTAGATGTGAAAATTAACCTTCTAAAAATTTATGTCAAATAATGCAGAAAAGAGCTTTCTGGTAAACCAAAGTAAAGCATCTTTGAAGATAATATAGTTTATTCATAGAATCCAAAATATATTTTTTTAAATAAAGAAATTAATATTAGCAAAAAATGTTGGTATTTTAGTTTAGTTTTGTTCTTTCTTTAGAAATTATAAACTTCTACAAGCCTTGTAAAGGACTAGAAATATGATATTGAGATGTTGGCGTCTGGGTGGTTACAGGACAGATATATGTTTAAACAATCAGTGAATTATCTGTTTAAGATTTCTGTATTTTATGGCATATAAGTTGCACCTGAACAAGAGTTTAAAAATGTATTTTCAAATTCTAGTAAAGTGACAATATTACAGGTTTCAGAAAAGTTGAGCGTAGTGCCAATCTAAGCATTCAGCATAGTTTCTTATGCGTTGTCACAATTACAGAAACAGGATAAAGTATCACCACGAATGTAAAGTTAAATGTGATTAGGAAATGTGTATGGCTTCCAGAAATGCCCTTGATGTTATTTGGGGTGTCTCTTCATCTCAGGTCCCAGGGCTCATGATTTACATTTTTTCCCCTTGCAGTACTTGGGGTGCATTGAAGTTCTACGCTCAATGAGGTCTCTTGACTTCAGTACAAGAACACAAATTACCAGGTAAGCCCTTTTGAAAACGGACCCCTGTGATTTTACTTAGGAAAGGAATGTTTTCAGAGGGTAGCAGCCTAGAAATGTCCAAAGGGAAATGTTGCCCCTTGAGTGCTGGTGACAGGGAGGAGTCAGGACCCCCGTGTTTCAAGACTTCTACATGTTGATCCATATTTGTGGCATGTGTCTCTTCACCTGGCACCCTGAAAGACACGCCCCACTTCCAAGCGCTTTTTATAATTAAGCTGCAGACAAATGGAGTGTTTATGTTTGTTTCTTTAATAAATGAAACTCTAATACCAGATTGATATTTTATTTGTTGAACTGTGTTCTTTTTAAAAAGAAAATCAAGATGTCAGGAGACAATTTTCAACAGTATACACAGAAAATAAAATGCATGGAATTGGTAATAGTAATATTAATGGGAGTAGTAATTTAAAGAGCAGTTCTTTCAAGGTGTCAGTGACTTTGGACAGGTTTATATATTCTCCATCATCAACTAGATTGTAAACTTCCCGAGGGCCAGTTCTGTTTTTATAAAATCTGTAGCCTAATACAGTTTATACATTTAGAAAAATGCCAATTCAAGTCATCTCAAACAGGAGAACCGGAAAGCTAGGAATGAGGCTGTTAAAAAGCTGTTTGGATTGCTTTGGCAGTTGTGAAATTATTTAATCTAAATTGTGGTCTCAGAAAATGCCTCATATTTATTCCATTTAAATCACTGTGTGTATCTCTTTGGTTTTTTTTTTTTTTTTGAAAGAAACCATTTTAGATTTAATAACTTCTATTGAAATAGGATTTTTCTTCTTAGAATTCCTCCATGGTTATAAAAAAAAACAACAAATCAAGATTTAGTACTATTTGCCTTGAGGAGGCTCAAGCATTCCTGTTTGTTAGGCTAGGTTTAAATTATCTCTTTGGTTTAATAAAATCTAAAGATTGAGAATCAGAAAGAAATTATTTGTAGAATTAGCTGCTAAATATGGACACCTCAATTCTGTGTTTTAAGCACCACAAGATATCTCTTCTTCCTCAATGAGGAAATTCATGTTCAAAATATTTGTCTTTTCTCTAAAGCTACTCAGGACACATGTACATAGTGGGAACACATCAACATTCATAATTTACACAGAGGGAAGGATCCGTCTCCACATATTTGTAGAAAATAGTTTATGAAATTGCCAAGGCCGAAGAGCGGTATTTTGAAGTGACAGCATTTAAAAGAAAAGATTGAACGTTTACTTAGTCAATCATCCTGCCCACGACAGGGCATGCTCTGTGCGGCACCTGTGGGCAGAGCACTTGGCCGCATGCCTGGGGTAATACTGGAACCCATGACACTGTTCAACTTCTCCTGTGTGGTGGCAGTTGTTTTAAAAGAGAATTTTCAACTAATTCCCTTTATAGATACTAGAACTTCTGAGATGACTCATGTCATTTCAATTCTCCTGATACATTCATTGAGCATTTACTGCTGACTGTGTATGTGCAGTGTGATGGCCAATGTGGGTTGTCCTGCTTTACTGTGCCTTCCAGTTTGGGGGGGAAAGATGTATATGCAAATGGCTGAGAGGCCTGTGAGGGGCACAGCCACAGCCTGCTCCTTGGGAGGGGTGGTGGGTAGGGGTCAGGTGAACAATCCCAGTGCTCTCCTGGATGAGGGTCTTAGCACTATTTGAGGTAGAATCCAAATGGGTAGAAGTGAAAATAGCATTGTAGAAGGAAGCCTGGAACAGACCTCCAGTCCCATTTTGTTTAGACTTTAACAAAGATGCAGCAGTGTAATGGGCTGAGTAGAGTGCCATTCTTGGACACATGAAAGTTGGTGTTGAATTCTGGTTGTACCAGAATTGCTTTGTGTTTCTTAGACTTTGTGAAAAGTATTTTTTTCTTTTTTCTTTTTTTTACTTGTAACCCAAGGATATTTTTTCCATTGACTGTTTTATAGAGAGTGGAGGGGAGGGAAGTGGGGGAGGGGGGCGCTGGAGAGAGAGAAACATTGATGTGAGAGAGACACATCGATTGGTTGCCTCTGGCTTGCACCCCAACTGGGGGCGGGGATTGAGCCTATAATGGAGGGATGTGTGCTTGACTGGGAATCAAATATGAGACCCTTTGGGTGACAAGCCGACCCTCTAACCACTTAGCAAAACTGGCCAGGGCTCTTACCTCATTTTTATTGCATGACCTTAGTTAATAGCTGGAGATCATTCATAGGAAACAATATGACAAATCAATGTCAGAAAGAAGCCTTTGCATCCAGGAGAAGAATACCCAGCAATATTTTCTAGATATGGTATATGGTGGAGCTTTTAAGGCCTCCGTGGCAACGGAGTGTTAAACATGCCTAGGATTAAACTCTATCACTGTGGTTTACCCTATATAATAAAGGCATTCTTGAAAGGTTGTAGGGTAATATACCATTATAATTAAGTTATATTATATAGGTTCTAGGAAAACCTGTTTCCAAAATTTTTAACCATACCTTTCATAAAAAAATACTTTATTATAAACAAATAATCAATCTCTACTCATCTGTTCCATTATTTCAAGTTTTGGATATGTGTCTTTTGAAGGTTCTGACAGCTGAACCAAGTGTCCTTTTGTCAGTTCAGTGTAGTTTTATGCTCTGTCTGAGTTCAGATTGACCGTAATGCTTGCAACAGCATCACTCATGGATTACTGATCTCTCACAAGTAGATAACTTTAAAAACTACCCTGGAGCTGCCATTGTTGTATGCTTAGTCTTGGCTGTGGCTATTAAATGCCTTGCACCCTAACACTTTGGGTAAAGGAACTTGATAATTTGTTCACACTAATGGTGCCTGCTCTGTGGAGTCAGCCTGTATGTGGAGTCCAGCTCTACCAGTTTCTACCTCAATAACTGTTGTAAGAAACAGGACAGTTTCTACATCTGGTGCACACAGGACAGGGCCTGGCAAAGAGGCAGCCTTGTTTAAGTGTTTGCTCTGTCTCATTGCCTGAGCTTGATTCAGCACAGTGGGTGCAAGACCTCAGTGTTCAAAGAAGGGAGTGTTTGTGAGCATGAGAGCAACTGAGGTCATATAGATGGTAGCCTCAGCAGCTGCTGCTTTTCTGGGTCAGCCTGTTGGTGGGGTACAGAGAGGAGCAGAGAGATGTATTTGTGAAAGTCTGCCTAGGGGACAGAGATGCACTCCTGAAGAAGAAATAGCTTCTGAAAAAGGAGATAGCTTCCCAACATGCCCTTGGTTGTGAAACCCAGTATGGCCTTACCCACTAATGGGTCCCCTGTCCAGTATGGCTTTGGAATGTGGTATAGAGTACTTCTCCACACCTTGTAGATTTGCAGTGACATTGCTCTATTGCAAGCTATCATAAACCCCACTGCCAAAATCCGTGAATCTTGGCTATTCTAGTGCTTCTCAGACTTGCTCCTCTGGCTGATGGAAACTGCTCTCCTCTCTCCTCACCACCAGCACCACTCATAGACTGTGAAAACCCCTTAGAAACAGCTATTCTCCTGCCTGGATTTCACACCATGCTGTGCAGTCCCTGAGAGAAGGAGAGGGAGGGTCTTAGGTTAGCGTTGCTGAGGGTGGTGGCCCCAAGGAAAGAGGAAACAGCTCCCCAGTGGGGGAACAGTCAGACACCTCTGCTTTCATCTGAATTAGGTCATGGATTTCACCATGATGCTATATGGCCAACAGCATTAGAAAACCGCTGCTCCAGTGTCTGGCCTGAGCCTGACCATCAGATGATCACACCACAAATCTCTGTGAGAAGTCCTGCCATGTGACTACTCTCAACTCCAATTGGGGGATGGGTTAAACGGTATTTCCAGGAAGAGGACTCGGGGGAGACCATGCTATCTGACCCGTTGGCCGCCCTGTGCAGTGATACAAAGCCCCCAACATGTCCTTGGCCACCTGCACAGCTTACCTTCTTTGTCCTTTCCTTTGATTTCCTCATCTGCTCATTTTAATTTTATTTATTGTGTTACATTTTACCTATTATTGGAAGTCATCCTAAGCCATTTTTAGGACACAGAAGGCTATAGGTAGATATACAATTAAGTCCAGAGCACTCAGCGAGGTGGTCTTTCTCCAACAGTTAATGCAAACCGCTGGCATGTATTTCTGGTTCTGCGGGACTCCCGCTGACCCCCTGCACCACTTGGGCTAGCCGGATGCTGGCCACGCCTGCTTTCCACCAGGGTTGTGCAGAATGTGGACCTAGCGTGTGTGGCTTTGCTACACTGTCAGGGTGAGCTCGGCTAGCTGCCCGGGGCCCAACATAAACCCACTTTCCCAAATTGTAGAGAGTGAACAGTTGACTGTAGTTTGGGTACTTTTGTTTTTCTTATTTTAAAAAGTTGTCATAGTTTCAACGGGCCCTGAAGACCCTGGTTGGGCCTGGCCTTCACCAGCACTGCCCGGGGGTGGTCCACTCCCCAGCAGGGCACTTGGCCTACCACTTCCGGCCGGGATTCCGCTGCAGGAGCTGAGTGTTTTGGAAATTCTCCAGGAACATGCATAAAATCCCTTTAGTTTGAAAACTAAAATCAAAACCTGTAAAAGGTAAACATCTTTCTTTTGGAACGTACTTCCCTTTTCTCCTTCTTCAGCGAATTGACGGGGCCTCTGGCGGCAGTTTCAGGTGTTGCCTGTGTGTTGAGGCTCAGAGTGGCCGTCCACGCCTCTCAGGACTCAGCACAGGGCGGAGGGTGCGGGCACAGGGCCGGCCCCCAGTGGAGGGAGCGGGCGGAGCGCGGTCACCCGCCGCTGAGTTCTGGCCGGTGTTGCTCCCAGGGGACGGTGAGAAGGCGGATGTGTAACCGCGTGGTGTTGGTCTGACACTGCCGGGTGGTGGGAAGCTACAGGCACAGCCGCGGGGACGTGAGGGGAAAGGAGCAGAGGCTGCGCCAGGCCCGCGGGGCGGCCTCCAGCTTCCCGCGCACAGACGGACCCTTTCAGCCCCAAGGAGGCCGCCAGCCCCGCAGCCCGTGCTCGCCTCTCCCAGCGACC